AGGAGTCCTAGTCCTTATCAATTATGCAACATTTTCGTTTAGTGAATATCAGATATAACCACTTATGTTTATCCCTTTCACTTGTATACCTTGTGATTGAATATGTTTGTGCCCTGTATATACTATGTATGGACCTGGTTCATGCATATGTTCTTTTGTCAATCATCAAAACAAAATTTACTTTGGCCAACACGTATTGACAAAAAATGTACTGTATATAAGTGTTGAGTCATATCTCTATGTTAGTTATTGATGATAATGATCACCAAAATAATAATAATATACTATAAAGACTGGCCGGCTCCTAATCCTGATAACACTAAGTAAATTTATTCGAATTCGTACCTCAATCTATCTTTGGTTCGTGTCTTTCCTTGCCAGTTTTTTTAAACGAGCCACTAATCGTCATTATTAAATAAACATTAGCAGTATTTAGCCATGGAGCTTCTTGCCAAACTTTTTATTAGATATTTCATATAATATATTGTTAAGTGTATCGTCAATACGCTAATTTAAAACGAGGTAAGTTATATAAGTACTATGAATCTTATCAGCAGGTCCAAAACAAATTTTATACTAGTAAATGGATTATCAAGAAATTGGTACTAAGCTATAAAAGTAGTAATTGGTACATAGGAGACAATTTTTAATCAAAAAGGCAGTTATCAGACTTTTGGCAATAATTTGATTAGATATGTCTCACCAACCTTAATTTATCATTCTTCATGTTTGTCATCGTAGTAAAAGCCAAAAGACATTAAACTAATCGCTAACCTCGTGGGAAAATTGGATCCACGAGACGTTACACTGTTTACATGGTTATATAAACCCTTCTTATTTGATGCTCAAAGCACCAAGAAAATCCTAATACTTGAGCTATTAATTGTTATTTGCAACTTTTGTAGTCCAAAAAAGATACTCTAATTATCTGAAATGGCAATTACTGGATCTTTTTTTATTTTATTTCTTTTGGTACTGACAACTACTGGATCAACATCTTCTGTGGTGGGAGAAATGGTGACTGTTCTTAGCATTGATGGAGGTGGCATTAAAGGCATCATTCCTGCTATTGTTCTTTCATTTCTGGAAAGCGAACTCCAGGTATACTGTAAATATATTTTCTACCGCTTCTTATTGTTTTTCCTTGCCGTTTTTCTTTTCATTACTTGTGCTTATACTTTCCTGAGTCGAGAGTCTATTATTGAAAACCGCTTCTCTATCTTCACAAGTAGAAATAAGGTTCGTGTACACAGACCTCACTATGTGAAATTATACTTGATATGATGTTGTTGTTAACCGTCCTGTATATAAAAAGAATTAAAACAAATATCTCATGCATAGTTTGAAAACAAAAGAATATGAGATACTATAAAAGAATTTAAAGCTGAAAAGGAATTATCAAAATAAAAAAGTTTGTATAGATGTATCTGATTAATATATGGTTATTTTTGAGTCAGGAATTAGACTGTGATGAAGATGCAAGACTTGCAGATTACTTTGATGTGATTGCGGGAACAAGTACAGGTGGCATATTGACTACTATGATAAGTGCTCCAAATGAAAAGGGTCGTCCCTTCTCTGCTGCCAAAGATATTGTATCCTTTTACTTCGACCATGGCCCTTGCATTTTTCCACCTGGGTACATATATATAGTTTTTATATATTTAACATTTCTATTCTAAGGATGTATTTTTTCGAAAATTGGAGTAAAATATTTTTCCTGCCTAAAGGAGAGAAAAATATTTTTTAAAACTACTTTTCAACCTTTTCCATTTTATTGTCTAATAAAATAGATTTGGTTTCATTTGCAGGGCCTCGCCTCCCTTTTTTGCCCCCAAATATGATGGAAAATATCTTCACAATGTTCTGCAAGAGAAGTTGGGAGAGACTCGTTTGAATCAGACTTTAACAAATGTTGTCATTCCAACTTTTGACATGAAGAAACTTCAGCCAATAATATTCACCAAGTCGGAGGTAGTCTTCCATAAATAATATCATCTGGATATGTAATTGCAAATATTGCCGTCAATTAGCTAGTTTTTACTTTTCTATTTTATGGATATATGGGTAGTAATTATTCTTTATTATGAAACAAATACAGATAGCAAACTCTCCTCAATTGGATGCTAAGTTGTCTGACATATGCATTGGTACCTCGGCAGCTCCAACTTATTTTCCTCCATATTACTTTGAGAATGATGATGGTAAAGGAAATAAGTATGAGTTTAATCTTATTGATGGTGGTGTTGTTGCTGGCAATCCGGTACATTCCCTCATATAAATCAAATGATTATCTTAATTTCTGAATTTCTCTTGTAGCTGTATAGTTAACACGGTATATCCCATGGTTTCATAGTTAGGGTAGTTTGATAAATGTTATTACTCTGTATTTGGAAATTTGATTCTGTAAACTTAAATAGACGTAAAACAAAAATGTAGTAAAAGCAAAATTATATCCGAGCCCACTGACTTCACAGTTTTTTCTTAAGTAACTTAATTCCCTCCTACCCGAGGTTTAGAATTATTTTCTTCCGTGATAGAACGGATAACCACATTGGTGTAGCAATACTTCAAATACCAATGTACAACGAACATAAATGGTGGCAGTGATTCACACTTACTTTGTTTTAGTAAGAAAACAATACATTAAAGAAGAAGAGATTTCAGAATTTTCGTACGGAAAAAAACAATAAAAAATAAATAAAGTGCTCCATATTTATTAACCTTAAATAATAGGTTGTATGATCGCTTTTTTATCAAGTGTTACTCATATGCGTCAATCTCTTTGTTCTTCCATATTTATATCATAAGTTAAAATCTATTAAATTCTTATATCTTTTTCTAATGTGAAGTGGTTATTATTATTTAGGTATATCAACAAAAACTTATTGTCAGACAACTAAAAAAATAAGTATTATGTGTTACTAAGAAAATTGTCTCATAAGAATATTTTAATAGATAATATGTTTGTCAATTTTTTATATTTTTACTAAACATATATTTACTTGTAAAAATATTAACAAAGTAAGATTGAAATAATATTTAAGTAACAAAACCCTGAAAAATCCGACAAAACCGAACCAATTCAAACCGATATAGTTGGTTTGGTTTGGTTTTGATAAAAACTGAACCAACCCGATCCATGTACACCCCTACTAACTAGGATGCAACATGCTTTAGTAATATACTATTATGTATAATTCCTCCCGTGTATACCTCTGTATGAAACTATGCATATGCAGACAAACCCGGAACTTCTTTTGTTTGATTAGTAGAGTGCAAATGATAGTACTCACTTTTATAATGATGCATATTAATATATAAAATAGTTCCTCTTTGCACCAAAATATAAATTATAAGTAGACATTTACATGACTAGCTAACTTCTAATGACCCTTGTTAATTAGCTCATACATATATATGGTTGACAGGCCTTAATTGCCCTAAGCACAGTAATCAACAGTACGGAAACGGATCCATCATTTGCTTCTATCAAGCCAATGGACGACAAAAACATTCTGCTGCTCTCATTAGGGACTGGCACTATTGCAGATTTTGCTGGGAAATACACAGCAGAGGAGGCAGCTCATTGGGGTCTTGTTTCCTGGCTATTTCATAATAATTCGAATCCTCTTAATGAAATGACATCTGCAGCAAGTGCTATCATGAATGATTATTACATCACCACTATCTATCGCGCTCTTGGTGCTAAAATAAATTACCTCAGAATTGAAGTAAGACAATCTCGCTCAAAAATACCGTCATACTCCTAATATATTACTTATATGATTATTTCAAGTTGATTAATTTAAGAGTAAGGGATCGGTGCAAGTATAACTATCTCTCTTTTTTGTTTTTTTGGGTATCATTGACCGAATTCGGGAGAATAACGAAAAATAGGGTACTTTTGTGTCACTAATGGTTTTTTGACCCACAATAAAAGAAGTTTTGAGAAATAGCCCTATATCAGAATTTTAAAATATGTTGGGCAGGATTTTTCCCGATCACAAGAATCTTAAAACACGCTGCGCAGAATTTTAGCATTATGCTAATTATTAGGATTTTGCCACAAATCCTGATATGTCACCAGAATTTTTCAGCTGTGGGTGAAAATTGCTAGAATTTCTGGTCCTTCAAAATTCTGGCGCTGAAAATTCTAGTGATCATCAGAATTGCCGGTGCGTCAAAATTCAGATAAGCGTGCTTAATTCTAATGCGAAGCTATTTTTTCAAAAACTTTTTTTTACGGGATTAAAAGTGGCTTAAATAGGTGCATCATTTCGAGTTTGAATTCACACCGCATACATTAAAGTGAAAATCACCAAATTTCTCAATTCTTATAACTCAACCAATCGTGAAATAGTCTCATGCATCCACATTTCTGCATTGTTATCTTGTTTTCTACTCAAATCAAGGAGTGATTTTTTTTTCTTCACCATTACTTCCCCTCCTTTTATTTATGAAAGCACTAAAGCACATTAACCTTAAATACTTCCTCCGTATCGATTTATGTTGAAAAGTTTGAATTACTATTGAATTTAAAAAAGAAAAGAAGATATTTGAAATTTATGGTTTAAAATATCTTATGGATATTTGTAAGTTAAATTATTTTAAAAATTAAAAACTAAGAAACAAATGTTGTCACATAAATTGAAATTGGAACAGAAAGAGTAATTAATTATTTTTTTTGTGTATACCAGGAAAACGCATTAACAGGCACAACTACCCAAATGGATAATGCTACAGAGGCTAATATGAACTTATTGGTACAAGTTGGTGAAAACTTGTTGAAGAAACCAGCTTCCAATGGGAATCCAGAAACCAATGAGGAAGCTCTAAAGAGGTAAAATATATTAACCATCATTTTTTTTAATCTATTTAGAGACTGCTTTTTGATCGAATTATAAATCTATTTTATTTCTACTAATAATAGTTTCTTTTGTACGTAGGTTTGCAAAATTGCTCTCAGAAAGGAAGAAACTCCGAGCAAACAAAGCCTCTCAATAATTCTAAGGTCTTGACTGTTACTGGTACTTAATATGCTAAAGAATAAGCGCTTGTAACGTTAAGGGATAAATTTCAATAGAAATATCCCTCTATGTAAATTTGAAATATGCTAAGGATTATGTAGACTTTTGGTTGTGTTAAATAAATAAAATCATCCTTCTAAGCCAAAACAACATAAAAAGAAAGGAAAAATAGTAATTCTGTTGTAGGGGAAATCCATCACCCCCTAAGGACTTGGAGCAATCTGCCAAAGTAAAACTTGCATTTCCACAATGCAAAACCGACATCATACAGGCTGGTCTAGAACTTGTAATCTGGGTTGTCACGAAGGCCGAGCTTAGAGAGAACGAGGCAGTAGGAGTCCCAGTCTGTCCTTCGGAGATACTTCAACAACTTCTTCCTCTTTTGCACCATTGCTTGTAGACCCTTACGAGAGTGCTTATCCTAAAACATTTTATTATTAAGCATCAAGTTATAAATAACCAGCTCGCTCTAATCTAAGCAATAAAACTCTATAATGATGATATAATAGATCTAAAACACTTAATGCACCATCTTATATGATAAAAGTTCTCGCAATTAGTCAACATGCCAGCAAATGTATCGTCCATTCTTTCTTCTTTTCATCTGATTTTGAATTTTCAAGAACAACCATATGACAGTGAACAACAATGTGCTATGGATTGAGATTTCATGACCTCTATTCTTACAAAAGATGCTCAATTGGGCACAATTCAGCAGAAAACTCACCTTTTTGTGCAGAACTGACGATAGGTGTTTTATTTTTGTTGTAAGCTGAGCCACTGAAAACAAGAAAAGGCTAACATCAATTTAAGATGTAAGAAACTAAGAACACCATTGGAGTAGCACATGTTGTGGCACGATGGTGTTTTAGAGTATTACCTTTAAACAAAAATCAAATTCAAGCAACTTCTTATAGATGTTTGTTATAAGTTTAAGAGAAATAGTATCTATCAACAGCAAAAGACGGTATTAGAAACAACCTCTCTGCAGATTGTTGCCAAAATAAGGAATAGATTGCAACAATCTGGCTTATAATGTCACTCAGTCCCCAAAATTATACCATTAGGAGTCATTTGGCTAATGTGCTAGTAATTTCGGATTATAATGCATGTTTATGCGATGCTAAATGAAGGGACTGTGTTATGCGATGATTAATAAATGAAGGAATTATTATGCGGTGGTTAATAATGAAAGGTCTGTCATTTATGCAAGGTTTACTTACTTTAAGGGCATTGTTATCTTTAAATAGTTTTCTGTATTACTAATTCCCATATTCTGATTACACATTCTATCGTGTATAAAATAATACATATCGCATAACTTAATGCAGATATTATTTAATACCGCCATCTTCAATATGCAGTCAACCAAACACAACATTTGTTAGTATGGCAATTATTTTTTCCAAACTTATTGGCAAATAGACACTGTACTTGCACGGAATTATGTTCCAAGCTATGTTGCGCAAACTCTCCAAAATGGTGTTGTACTTATGTCGCATCCTCCAAATATACACTACTTTGAAGGATTCAACATGCACCCAGTAACATTTTCGGAGAGCCCATGCAACATAGGTTCCCTACCTCCCAACCTCTACGGTTTTCATCATGACACCGGAACATGTTCAAAACCAGCATTTTAAACACAATGTTGACTGTGCTTACGCGGGATTAATTTAACTGAGCTGGATAAAAAACGTGGTATGCACATGTATAAGGAGACGTGAATAAGTGGAGGAAATAGAGACGCAATTGTTTTCTTGAACGGGACGATGGGGGATGGCTTTTGAGATCAGACTCTTTTGTGGATGAGCACGAGTGTTTCTAATGATTATCTGTAGCCTGTGGATGAAGGTGTTCAGGTAGATTGATTTTAAGCCTTAAGGGAATGAAAGAGGGTTGTTTGTGGTGAAGGTGGCGTGCGTTCTTGATGAAGAGAAAGGAATTGGTAAAGATTCAAGACGGAGCTATGGTGGGTGTTTTGAGCTAAACCAGTGTTGAAAAACGATGGAGCCATAAGTTTTGGTATGATTCAATTCTATTAAAGAAAAGTTCTATTGTTAGTTAGATTCTTATGGGATAGAAGATTACTGGAGGAATTTTTTATGGAGATGGCCGGAAAACTTTTCTTGGCCGGAATCTATGCTGGAAAATCAAACACCGGCAGGATCCATCTCTCTCCGGCAATCCCTTGTTCCTTTTGTTTGAGTTTTAGCAACCCTAGAACTATACCCCATGAGCCTTTTCTCCCAACCTCGCTGGGAAAAACTATCCACCTCACAAAACTCCGATGGTGATGGGTGGAACAAATGGAGGAAAAAGAGTTGGGATGGATTTGGGATTTGCTTAAAAGTGAAAATATATGATGACGTGACCTGATATTTATCTGACATTTATCTCCATCAGCTCAATTGAGAGACATGTAGGGACATAAGTGTTTAAAACGGAGGCCTCGGATAAGTTCATGTGTCTGGAATCTAGATGAAAATTTATGGAGTTAAGGAGCGGGAACAGAACTCCGTGCAAGTACGATTGTCTATTTGCCTATTAAGCTTTTTTTCTTTGGCAACCAACCAAATGCTATATTATTTAATGCGGGATTTTACGCTGAGATTAATTATACTAATACAGCCAAACAAACGACCCCTTAATGGTTGAGTTTATTTCCGAATCCCAATAAAAATTTTGAATTAGATGCAAAGATACAATGTTTTTAGTTGATGTTATATACACTTCATTTATTGTAGTTTTTCACTTTGATATATAACTGTTGTCCGTGTCTAGTTATTTTTTATGAAATTACACATTTTTTAGTTTTATTTTGCACCTTCTTTCGCTTAAGCATGCTTTCTTCGTGCTTTGGTTTAAAGCCTACTTTGGTGCTCTTTTATTCTTTTAGCCTTTGAAAGACCATAGAGGGGGCAAAAGAAGGATGCCAATTATTGCATTTCCAAATTATACCATTTACAATATACTTATTAATGTAAAATAAATTTGGGACAATCATACACTCTCCCTCGCCATAGAGGATACAAATCATATCTTCAAACTTGCTACATATACATTTAACCCTCGGCCCTTGGGATGCTTCGATGAACATATTAATAAGCTCGGCTTTGAACTAATAAAACTAAATAGAGTTGCACCCCGAATTATATTTTCTCGTGAATGATGTACCAATCTCGATGTCTGGTTCATTCATAGAAGAGCAATTATAAGTAATACACATCGCTGCTCGATTATGACAACTTCATCTACGTTGTCTTTCAAACTTCAACTCCTTAAACCACTGCTTTAACAGCATTCATCAGTTCCCCATGCTATTTTATTTTTAGGGGATTTCCTCTAACTGTGACACGATATCTTTAGGAGGATCTCTATCAAAAGGAGATTCCAAACATAAACATTAACCTTAGCGCCTCCTTGATTCTCATATATGAATCTCTAACCTGGAGCACCCTTCACGAAGGATGTACCACTCTTGATGTGTGTATTTGGTCGATAGTGTTATTTTAGTCATCTCTGAGATATCAAGGACATTTTTATTTTTACAAGATAATCATACCTGAAATAGCTCAAGCCACTTCCATGCCCAAGAAATACTTGAGCTGGCCTAAATTCTTAAACTGTTTGTTTCAATGCCGTGTTACTTATCATCACCGAGTGATCTGACTCACTGTGCATCTACAAATTGCTAAACTAGATGACTAAACCAGCCAAACAAACCTTGTAGAGATTGCTTCAGACCATGAAGGAAGTAGCAATGCCAGCATACTAGATTGCTTCAGACCATGAAGGAACTAGCAATGTCGGCATACTGGATCAGACTTCCCCCCACCAGAAAAAAAAGGTCAGCAGTTGCTTCTGTAGACTTACTTCCAAATGCTCTTCTTCCTCAAGTTCAACGGACACTTTTTATCAACAGCTGATGGCAAAACTTGCATCCAGGACCTCTACCTATACTGGAATGCTATTGATTTAAGTAAATCGCTCATCTAAAAGGTTAAGCTATTAGAGAGTGAAATTTTATTGATTTATATATTTAGGTTTTCAACAAAGCCTACCCAAAGTATTCTCTCTTTAAACCAAACGTAAAGAAGCTGAAATTAATTGATCTTTAAAATTCGACGGAAGTATCTACAAACTAAACGAATCACAACCGGAAAAGGACACTTGGAGGAAAGACATGGGAAGTGGAATTTTCAGGTGAAACGTTATTACCACAAGATGCAAGAGGTGGAACAAAAACTACAACCAGGGTTTATCAGCTCCCATGCCATTAACAAAAAAACAATTATCGCTAAGATAGAATCATTTATATTTCTTCGGGTTGGTCAATTATGTAAAAAAAAAATTAAGACCGATAAATCCATCTGGGGCCAACCCTTGGGACCAACCGCAGCCTTCAAAACTCGGGGATAATGGGTCCAGCACCCTACCCTTCCCTACCCTTTTCCACTAGCATGCCTCAGGACTCAAACCTGTGACCTAAGTCAAGTGTCCCTAAACCTTTGCAATTTCAACTAAGCCATGGGGGATTTTTGCACCAAGTGATTTCAAAGGGTCACAACTTTATGTAGTAGCTCTTCGGTTTGTCTTTCATCCTAGTTGCAAGGTTATCTCATAAGAGACTGCTGTACACTCTCTCATTTAAAGCTTTCAACTAATCACTCGCTCTTTCCCTCAAACATTTGAATCCCAAAAAGACAGCTTTTGCACACCTATTCTGCCCCAATAAAAGGACTTCTTGCGGCATTAATCCTTGGAATATTTCAGTAAAAGAACTTCTTGCTGCATTAATCCAGAACTGCTACATGGGACCTATTGAACAAAAATGCCTTCTAATAGAACCTTCAATTACTCAAAATTCTCATCTACAGTTTCATTTGAAATAGATGCTGAATTTCCTCTCTTTCTTTTCCTCAGCCAAAATCATATTTTAGACCCATATTGCTCCATAACTATTGGCAGAGAAACTATTTTCTCAAAGCGACTGAGTGTCAATCAAATACGATGTTGACAGAACAGATTTAGATGAACCTTTATTAATCAGAATTCATTGATCAAAGAAACATAGATTCCTCCTTTTCAAATGCATTAAAAAATTTTACTGTATTTCCTAAGTAAATCATCACAAGGGAACTATCAGTCAAATCATGTTGAACAAACTCGATGCAGTCAATTGCACCTTTTCTTTGTGAGCAGTAATTGCACCTTTGGAAATGATGGAAAATGGACTCCAATTTTTAACACCCAAACTTGGTTAAACCGTTTGTCTTCCAAGTCTCATAACCTAATGTTATTGGTCTTTTAGTTATCCTAAAATCTTGGGTCAAGATCTCTGCGAACCTAAATGTTTGACTGACTACACTCAGCTCGCTAGCTTAACTTGGAACTTGGAAGTCATTACCCTTTCTTGGTCTCCACATTGTAGACAATCAGAAGAAAAGCGATTCCAAGCAAATTAATACTGCTTTCTACAGGATATAGATTATTCCCTGGCACTGCAATTAACTACCAAAAATCAGAGGAAGAATTTAAATTAGCCTTGCGGAAGAGCAGGGGAATCAGCTTGAATTTAAATGCTGGAAAGTGGTGTTATGTAAGGAGAGGGGCAGAGGATAATGTCCAATGAAGAATGAGTGACTGTGGGTTCTGTTTGATATATGGATAGGTCTGTGTATCAGTGTAGACAAAAAGCTCTTTCTAGGAAATTCTTTCTAGGAAAAAGATCTACTCTAGAAACAGAAAAGAACATAGAATCTGCTCAAGTGGAAAGTATCTAGACCAACTTCCATATTAAAGCCAGATACAAACTACCCAACGGAACCTCAAAAGTAGCATAAAGAGCACCAAGAATATCAAGTATAGGGGGGAAAAAAGGAAACAACCGAAGAAATAAAGATATTAAATAGCAACCTAAAACAACAAGACACCATAAAACTAGACCACTGACCTTGAACACGTGATGAGCCACAATCCGACTCTGACATTTTAAACTCATCTCTCACTTTTTGTAGCTCCAGTTTCATTTTTTCCTCAGATGACATGTTATCTGGGTGGAAATACTGTTCAAAATTGTCCACAAGTTATTACATTCACTTAAATGAATGACAGCCACATGGACAATAGAAATCAGACAACTGATGCTACTTGCTGAGCTAAACGAAGTAAAGAACAGAAAGAACAATAAGAGAGTACAAAATCATGGATGAGCTCTGTAAATTATGGCTGCGAATCAAGACAACCATCAACCATGCCTCCACTTTTCCTTTCTTTTATGTTTTCTTTTTCTTGTTTTGCTTAATTAAACAAAAACTGGACAAATAGATCAAACTGAAATGCAATATGACAAAGAGCAATTTAGTCGGACCAAATATACATCTTAATCTTTTTTATAGATTATTTGGATGACTAAAATAAATAAAAGCCTATGTTTGTTCTTTATACTGTTGTGATTATGCATGATTGCTTTAAGCCGAGGGTGTACCGGAAACAGCCTCTCTACCTTCACAAGGTAGGGGTAAGGCTGCGTACTTTCAACCCTCCCCATACCCCACTTATGGGATTACACTGTTGTTGTTGTTGTTTTAATAACATTCTTGGAAAATGAAAAAAAGACCTTTTTTCTTCTTAACTCTTAAGTATGAACAATAAAAATGAACTACATATGGTAGAAAACCATGTGAATCATCAATACCATATTTGATTCACACGGTCCGTACACTGGTTCATACAATCACCGCCCGCTCTTGTATTTGTAATAACTTGTCTTGAATAAAATTAAATTTTGATGGGAAAGAACCATAACTATGCAACCCTATTCTTAATAGATTGACCCCAAAATAGCATATCCAAACTATAAGAAAGCCACCTCAAGTTATTATTTTTTATACATATGGTAAAGCAAAAATGTAACTCGCATAATTGCATTAACCTTTTGCTCTAATGCAGTTCACGATTATGTATAACATCTTAATTATTAAAATTACCAAAAATCAGCAAAAAGTGTCATGTTTAGTGTTAAGGTCTGGTTTAATCTCTCGTGTCTCAAATGTTGCTTTTAGATTTTAAAGCCAAATGCATCCACTCCTAGATTTTCTACTAAAGAAAGAAGAGACTATGCTTGCTGCTCAGATCATCACTGAAGGCAAAATACCATTCAGATCCCTGAAATGAATGCTTCATAGGTGACTCATATTCAGAAAAACCAAATACTTAAAAACTATTGAGTGCAGGTTGGACATCAAAAAGGTTTATCATGAGTAATCAAATTAGAAATAGCAGCATCATTGACAGAAAGATAACTGAGAACAAAACACTTATTACCTTTTCAACCAATTCTTCTTTTGGTGGATGCAACATAAAGCTTGGGGTACCACCCAGCTGCCCCAAGACATCAAGTCTCTGAACTGTAAAAAGTAATTGTAATCAATGTATCATATAAGATGTTCAAACCATCTTCAAGTGACATACAAGTGTTGCTGCTTGCAAGGAAGGAAGCGCCAGACCTAAATCTAGTTGTAGCTTATATTAAAGAAAACAAGAATTGATATTAGCCCTCGATGCACACTGTGTTGACTAATGAATAATTACTAGCAAATTGGCCTAAGGCCCACTAATTGAATATAAAAAGATTGCAAACACAGAAACAATCTTTTGACATCATTGTGAAGGCTTTGCACATTTTCCACAATATGTACATTTTATGAGTATAGTTTTGCTAGAAACTCTTCTATAAATGGTATTTTCAAGAGCAGCTCTTATGGAACTGGGTTCCTAGAGAAGATTCATGGGAAAAATATTATATTCATAAGAGATGAATCAGACCAATGACTCAATCACTAGCCCCTTTGTATGACCTCAATTAATTCCAAATACTTTATATTACCACAATAGCTACACTTACATGTCTTTTTATATATATAATGGAGGTCGTCCGGCGAACTTTTGCGCACCTTAACTATTCTACCTGATACCTGCTAAATCCTACCAGAACAGGTATCGAGTAACTCAACCTCCAATTCTTAGACATATGGGAAGAAATAACCTAGCAATTGTTATCCTCGACTAGGATTTGAACTCTGATCCCCCATGATTTTCATCCCAATTGAACGTTAGACCACACCATTAGATGCAGCTACACTTATATTTCTTTGCAATAATAAACCAAAACTTAACCTCCCAACACCACTTAATTGTAGTTTTCAATTCCTTTGTATATATATATAATTGTTTCTGCTTATAAATATATGTCCCATGTATTTTCTACCTCACCCCTTTAGTCACTAAAGCATGAGCTTTATGCTTAAAGTTCTGGTAGCCATAAGTGCTTCTCTAAGCTTTTAGCATTTGATCACACTTGCATATATAAATATAACTAAACAATTCACAGCATCACATTTATTATACATGGTTCTGCACAAGTTATCCAAATAAACAAATACATAAGCAAACACCGAAACTGCA